TCACACCAACAGATTATTTCTTTTAGCAACTGTATTCTTGAAATTATACTGAAGTCAATTACTTTCAAATTTGGTATCCTCCATGTTGGGCTGAAGATAATGAGAGCTATAGTAAAACATATTTACTATTTACTAGACAAAAAGTGTGATTTAAAGTACACTGTTATTTTAAATCATTTTACTAAAGTAATTTGTAATTTGAAGAAGTAAAGTATTATTTTACAGTATTCTTATTTGACTATTCATATACTATATCTACATTTTAAAACAGATTTTATATTAGCTTGATCCACAAAGTACTCTAAAATATACTTTGTGGCACTTTCTGTAATAAACTAATCTTCCTCATTTAAATTACAATAGTTGACAGGCAGTTATATTTGGGGTAGGCAATCTTTGGAATTCATGAGCATGTTTGCAATACCAAGGAAATGTCCAAATACAATTATTTTACTTATCTCACTACTGAGATAATTTTAAATTAATTTGTCACCCTTCGTATACATCTGGAGGCAAATTTCATGCCTCACTTAGTCTAATTTACACTGACCCTGTATTAGAAAACTCTTTATGTCTTTCAGACAAGATCGTGAGAGGGCTCGTTTCATTCAGCCACCACTGGCATGCAAGTTATGAATTAGGAGAGTTGGGTTAGTACAGTAAATTGGAAGGATTAGAATGAATGTTTCATTGAGGGAAGGGTGGGGGGGGGATTGCTTACACTCCTATTCCTGTGAGCCATGGTGGCACAGTGATTAGAATGCAGTATTGCAGGCTAACTCTGCATTCCACTGCCAGGAGTTCGATCCTGATCAGCTCAAGGTTGATTCAGTCTTCCATCCTTCTAAGGTTGGTAAAATGAGGACACAGATTGCTGGTGCAATATGCTAACTCTGTAAACTGCTTAGAGAGTGCTGTTAAGCACTACAGAGCAAGTACTATTGCTACTGCTATTCCATCTCCCCACTGTACTCCTTTTGGTGAGTTGCTTCTTGGTGCAAATAAACCAGAGTTTGAATAGGCAAATAACGGTATTACTGACATCCTTAGAACGAGGGTTAAAAACTACTGACATAGCTCCCCTGAAGTCAAATGCATACAGAGAAGACATACATTCTTCTTGTGTCCTGAGACTCTCCAGAAAAAATACCTTTAATCTTTTCTTCCAAGTAGCAAATCAAAGATGTGATGGAAAACATATTACGACAAACACCAGTGGTAAAACAGATGACTTCCTTATTTCAAAATAAATTAGATGGCACTTTTTAACCACTACACAACAATGCTAGAGAAGAGGCTTCTTGTATTGCTATGATTCAGCTACCTAGCTATGCCTGTTTTTTATAAGAAAGTTGCCAACCACTAGAGGTGTATACTGCAAACATTTTCCTTAACTGAACTGCAAATATACCAACGCATCCCCAAAATGAATGGCTTAAAGGGCCTACTTTAAAAAAAGATTTGCATGGTATGTGAAACTATTAAACATGTGATTTGATATTTAAAAACAAATGTTAGGTAATCTATCACATAAGTTTCAATTCTGGTTTTCTACACTGAGTACTTAAGGTATGTAATGATAATCAAACATGGCATTGTAATATAAAAATACTCCCATTATTGTTTTGACCTTAATAATTCAAGTTAAGGCATATTATTAATAACTTGCAGGAAGAAACAGAGGTGGTTCAACTCATACCCACTTGGTATGTAGTTTACATGATTTGCTCCTCATCTCAAATGTATATCTCAAATTTGGCTCAATTTGCAAATTTAATCTTATAAACTATGGTCTGTCCTGCAGGGAACAATTTTCTTCTACATTACTGTGAAATTGGTACCCTTATAGAGTATACTAGAAGGAAACTAGCAGGCATATCTAGCTTGGGAAAGGTCCTCAGCTAAAGAAAAATAGGAATCTTTCAACAGTCTGTTGGTTGCTGTGGGACTCCTAATTACTACAATCCTAATAGCAGTAGGTGTCATCTCTTAGTGTATATGTGAGAGACTGTAAGTGGTACAGAACGTACTTTTCTCAATTTTTTTCCTAATTCGCTAGTTGTATCAGGAAGCCTCAGTAATTTTGCCTTTCTTGGTTGTGGCATGTGACTCTCTGTTTCTCCTGCCATCTGCTATGGTTGAACATCGCAGAATGAAACATTTCTTGAAATTTTCCCCATCTCCCTTACTGTTCTCTGACTTCCTGCCTCATCTTTCTCGCAATTAATTAGAAGTTATGTTCTCTGAACACTTGGTATTGAATAGTGTAGTAAATTTATTCTCATAAACTATTACTTACTGGATTTGTTTGCTATGTACATTAGTATTCCTCACAAGTTGTTGTCTTATTATTCTATTACCTTTATGCCATTAGTCTCAAAAGTCAGTTAATAAATTATATTGCTTATTAATTATAGGGTTATTTTGGGGCTTGGGGGGCTATAGTTTAAAGTCACAAAGAAAGAGGCAATTTGGGAAATCCTACTTCATAATAACTGGAATATCATCAGTGAGCACAGGGTTGCAATTACTGAATGTCACCTTGAATGTTCTTTTTATCCACTATATTGGATTGGATACTTGAAAATAGTATGTCTATTATGGTAGTATATAACCATCTGACTGTGTTCCCAGAAATTTATTTCAATTTCAGTTGAAGAACTGAAATTAACCTACCACAAAACTTAATTTTCATGGTAATGTCACCCTGCCCAGTATGATCAGGAATTCATTATATCTTTTATAACAATAAAACTGTCAGAGATTACTTCAGAAACATGTTTTTTCTCCCCAAAGACAACAAAACTGAAAAACTCAATAAACTTTTGAAGATAAAGTTGGGAGACAAGCCATAAAACACCATAAAAAACAGCCAAGAGCAATTAAGTCAGAGTCCAAAACAGATTCTGGAAATTGTCCAGGGATCAAACATCAAAGAGCTCAGAGGAGTCTGGCAACAAGATCAGAGGCCAATTCACAGGTATTGTCTCAGCACAGACTGCTTGATATTGATGATTTTTTAAAGCCAAAACGTCCGGTATCTAGACCTTGGTTGCTGCCAATCAAAATTCTCTAGAGATAATTCTACCTTGTAAATGGAATCTAACTTTTAAGTAAGCTTTTATTTGACTTTTTGCCAGGATCATTTCTAGCTCTCAGTGGACAGTTTTGATGTTGATCCTCAACATATACTTACCTCTATATCCTGGGATTGGGGAATAGTTGTTCTTTATTTCTTCATAAAAATTGTTTTTTTTAACAATCATTTATTATTTAATTTTTGAATATTACTATTTTATCAGTTATGATGAACTGTGGAAAGATGATCAATGTTTTACTATGTAACTACGGAAATGCAATAAGTAAGAAATATAGTTCATGCCTTCCTGTGTTTTCACTAACATGCCAGAATTAGGGATCTTTTGAATTTAGGAATTGTTATCTGATTTGAGTACCTTGCCAGTTTGAAAAAAAAAAAGAGAGAGATGCGACTACCTTGGAACACATCTATGAAGTGAATCTGAATCAGTGGTGGTATTCAGCCGGTTTGCACCACATCGGGTGAATCGGTAGCAAGGATTTGGCATGGGTCGCCAAACCGGTAGTAAGTTCTGGCTGGCCATGCCCCCAATCTGGTCGCTCGGTCGCCGCTGGCTTGCTTGCCCCATCCGATGCTCACTCACCCCGCCTGCCTGACACTCACCTGTTAAAGTATTTTTCTTTTTTTCCCCTTCCAACAATCAGCTGTTCATACGATCAGCTGTGCCAAGATTCCCCTTGCTGAGGCCCAGGAAAGCAAAAAATGGAGGGAGGGACTCAGTGAACCCCCAGAGGAGTCTTCTGGGAGCAAAAGCACCCCCCAGAGGCTCTTCTGAGGCCAGGAAGATCCCAAAATGGAGCATGGAGGGGTGCTGTGTGCCCCTCCCATGCTCTGTTTTTTTTTCTTCCTAAGCCCCAGAGGAGCCTTCTGGGAGCAAAAATGCACCCCCCCCCGAGGCTCTGAGGCCCAGAATGCCCCAAAAAAGAGGTGGGGGGGCTGCAAAAAAGCAAAAAAAAAAGGACGCCCACCTAGTCATATGGCCACGCCCACCAAGCCACGCCCACAGAACCGGTACTAAAAAATTTGAATCCCACCACTGATCTGAACTCAATAAAGCCACAAATAGCACAGATCCTAGTCTAAAAATATAGTTTTCAACTAGATAGCACAAAATAAGAGTGTGGTCTAAAATCAAGCTTTCAGGCAAATATCAGTTCTCTTTTTTGATTATGTGTCATCAAGGTAGTGTAAACTCTTAATGAGCGTATAGACAGACCTTCTCTACATGATTCTCACCCTTCAAATATTTCAACAGTGGGAACTATCAAAACTAATCTCCATTACTTTGGAATCATTGCTGTTCAATTTGTAATTTAATTTAATGTCAATAGGAAGGTTACAGCAGGGGCTCACTAGCCCAGATTATTCCAAATAGCTGACAGTAGTTTTTTGAGGATTCAACTATATTCTATATGGGCAATAGCAACAATGGCATGCATCACATCTAATGTTCTATAATGCAATATTCCTAAATATTGAAGAAAGCTTTGTTCCTTTCATCCTCATTGCACTAAGCATATATGTAGTCAAGGCTCCTGTAACTTAGAAACCTCTTGATCTATGTGTTATGGAGATTATTCATGTTCCAGCATGTGAGTAACTTACATGGGCTACAGAAAGCCTCAGGTATGCAAATGCTTCTGTTCACTGCAATAGAATTCATTGTACTATTTACATACCCCTGTAAACAACCACTGCACATCAATATTACAACTGTATATCTGAATTATACTGAGATTTCAGAATATCAATTTTAGTGCATAATATTTTGGGAGAACAAAAGGGACTGTATCTGCATATATTCTCCCATTTCTGTTTAAAAAAATCAGAACTTCCAACTTCCTTTGATCTTTTCCAGAATTCCAAGGAATCTTTCCTGTAGCCATAAACATTTCCTTACCTTCTAATGTAAGAACTGCCTGCTGTTCTTTCAGCACTTCTGGTTCATGGCTGAGCTCCACATGCTCTTTGGTAATTTCACTAATGCTGGATATCTGTCCATTTTTATGTAAAATCTACATAGAGAAATAAAATACAAGAAGGAAAAAGGAGAGGAAAAATAACTGTCAGTATATAAGAATCTTTTAATTACTTTTTTAATAGAAAGAGAATGCATTTTGGAACATGTCTTTTACAGTTTAGAAATCATAAAATGTACCTCTGTGGCAGGTGGCTTGATTGCAATTTGACAATTTGGAAAAACTTTTGTATATGTGGTAACACTTTTTTTAAAAAAATTGATTCATCAACTGAAGTATGAAATCAGATTAGTTCTAAACTGATCTGTACCTCAAAATATTCATACACACTATATAAATACTAATGCACACAATCATTTTTAATAAAAGTTTAAAAGAGAACATAAAAACTAACATAAACTAACTTGCTGATATCAGCCTTATCAAAATGTACCCTTTCTAGCCATGAACATGTTAACAAATACAAATGTAAAGACAACCCAATCATCATCAGAAAGACTCAATAGATAATATCCTTCTCTGAAACAGAGTGCAGTAAATGAAAACAGCCATATGAGGTACTTCTTATTTTATGTATTTGCATCCTGCCTTTACTATTTTTACAAATAACTCAAGGTGGAAACATATCCAACACACCTTCCTCTTCCTATTTTCTTCACAACAAGCACCCTATAAGATGAGTTTTACTAGCCCAAAGTCACCCAGCTAGCTTTCATGCCTAAGGTGAGACTGGAATTCACTTTCTCCTGCTTTCTAGCCTGGTGCCTCTTGGAGACGTTCACTTTAGCTAATGTTACAGAAGTTCTTGCCAGACTGAAAAGGGATGAGCTGGTTTGAAATTCGCCTCATAAACACGCAGGCCTGCTTCCTCCATTTGTTCAGGTGACACCGCAATCCTAACTCTAATAGTCTCTTCTAAGCAATGCCCTTTTCCTGATGTTGACAGTAATTCCAACTGTTTTTTGTTTTTTTGTCTCAGACAGTTCTCCCTCTCCTTGAGGGCATTCTCAGTTCTTCCCATTGCACTAAAGTATGTTAATTTTTAATGGTCTGAATTTGTGTAAAACATTTTGGCTACTTTAACTAGTTCAGAGTACATTTCTCCTTCAAATGCCAGACATTCCAGAAAAACACTGTACCCAACTTGTTCAGCTAAAATGGCTTTTTACCAGACTTTAAAAAAAAGAAACCTCACTATAAATAAACCAATAACTCTTAAATGCCACTCGGACTTAAATACGCACAATCATACTTTTTAATTTCAAAAGTATTTCTTCATTAAATTTCTGCATTAGTTAACTTTTTTTCTAAAGAGAACAACAGACATTCTTTAAAAACAAAGACAATAATAGCAATGGCAAAAAGAAATAAAAAGCACAAATGGACTTATGAAAAATGAGAGATCAAGTCTCAAGGGTCAACAGATAACATCTGGTAAGATCTGCATAAAAAACAGAAACCAGAAAAGCCTTAAAGCTTGCTTTTCCTGCAGGCACATACACTTTCATGTTATGAACACAAGGAGAGGGGAAAAAACCCACAATCCAATTTACAGAGCAAAAACTTCAGCTTTGATTATTTAACTGAAAATCAATCTAGTTCCAAAATTAATGGACAAGATCCATACTTTGCTTAAATTTAGGTATATTCCTAAATTCCTAAACAGTAATCATCTGTATATGTAAACAATTTTGTGAAATTAATTATTTAATTAAATTCCTCTGGAAAAAAGGAAAACAAGTCCCTGCTCTAATTGATAAACACAGTTGAATTGAGTGCCACATTTGCTCATTCAGTATACAATGTCTGCATCCTCTCATGAACAGAAGATCCTTTTGAATGAGAAATTATTCAGTTCTTCATTTCATTTTCCCATCCCCCAATAACCATCTCATTAATAGCAGTTACACGCTTCATAAATAGAATCCAGAATTGGCCAGTTTTCCTGGAGCCAGACCAAGCCTGCTGATGAATATGGATATACCTCCTTCCATTTCTAATCACCATCATTCCCAACATTCTTCAGGACAGACTAAAGTCCATTCCAAAAATTCCACATGCCAGGCCCAAAGATATTAATGCTGATTTTGCCTATAGTATTAAAACCTTCCATACTGGTCTTATTAGGCATTCCTAAAATAAGATAGTTCCAGTTGTCTCAGCTGGATTAAACTAAGCAGCATACTAAAATATTTTTCTATGTTTTTAGATGACCCAGCAGCACAATGCATTATAACAATTAAAATTCTTTCAGCAGAACTCCCTTAATCATTTCAAAGTAGATCATATCTACACATTTTATTCTAATAGTATTTCCCCATGAATGGCAGAAATAAAAATAACTAATATCAAACAACTATCCTCATCTGAAACAATAAATCCCACAAGAATATCATTTTGGTCTTTTCAGCGCAATGCCTTTGAAAAACTAAGTATTTTGTAGAAGCCTCCAAAGATGCAAGCAATCTACCAATATGACCATTAAGCAATAACAACAAAAATACTTGTGTCAAGATCAAACAAACCCTATGGTAAACAGAAACACCCCTCTTCCTCCTTGACCTACTGAGCAGAATGCTTCGTTTGCTACAGAAGACTTAAATTAGATAGTTAGGTAGTTAGGTAGAGAATGAAGAAATGGGACAGGAAGCAGAGGTGCATTTTATACTCTCAAATCTCTCTGATGGTAAATTAGATATTCTGTTTAAATATCCCCACAAAATACTTAAGCTAGGTTAATCCTGTGAAACAGAGGCTTCAACTCCCCAGCTTTAGGTAAGTCATTCTACTGAGGAAACTGGCAGTAGCACTAAGCAGCTGTTAAGAATGGATGGGCTTGATGTGCGGTGTCTAGACCTTATCCACACTTTTTAATATATGTATAGACATGACTTGAAGAAAAATCCTTTACAATTCTTATTTCATCATTAAGACTGCTGTCTGATACAAATATATAGTAGGGAGTCTATTGAATACAGCAGCTCTACTTGGTTATTTTTTAAAATGGAAAATAAGCCTTTAAACAGGAATGTTTGAATTTTTATGTAATATGTGTGGAGCTTCTTTATTTTTTTTCAAGGCTTTTCATTTAGGAAGCACTAGTTGTATACTACTATAATAGCAATGGTAGAGGCAGAGTCCTCAAATTTGAATTATTACATTACAGAATTCAGAACTTCCCGAGCAAAGGTTTCAGGCTATCAAATTTAGATCTTGTTCCCTTCTCCACTTCTTTGCTGTGATGTGGTGTTTACTATTAGGCCAGTCTCCTTTATTGTTTTACAAAAAAAGTTTGCCAGTACATTAAATAGTTCAGAAATATACTCACTTATTTCCTATATACAAATATACATACAGTACACACACACACATACATACACACATCCATATATGTAACCTTTTCAAAAGAGCTCCTGGTTTGCCTGTTCTAGGTACCCGATTCTGTTTATGCCCAGGCACTTAGATCTTCCCATTAAAAGAAATTATTCAATGTCCAGTGTTGGAAAGGGAGATGAAAATTTTATCCGGATCTCTCAAGTGCACGAATACAGGAAACTCCATACAGGAAATAAAGTAAGATGCATTAATTATGTATTTTCTACTATCACATTTATGACTTGCCTGAAGCTTAGCATACCTTCTTTTTATACGTGGCATTTGTACTATGCTTGCTACATCAGCCTAGCAGAGAAACAGTGCAGCCAAATGAAGGGTAAACACAATCTCAGTGCTTCTGTCAACGGCTGCTGGGGATACAGCATAGAGCTTTCCTCATTAAGCAGCAAAATATTTATTTTTCATCCAAATCCTTACAAAAGAGGCCCCTTTGTTGAAGAAAAACTAGAGGGTGGAAGCACTCTATTCCTCTTCTCTCCTTCAATAAATCCTTCCTTGGCTTTCTTGTAGAAAATTTGACCTCCAAGATATTTGTGTAGCCTCCAGTTCTGAACAATCAGTACACCCTCTCCTCTGTGAATTTCCTCTCAGCACAGGACAGGAGAAGAGGACAAGAAAGAGTACAGAATTAAACATAAGACACCATCATTTTCAGAGGCTTCAGTTCCTCTTCTGGGACTGTATAATGAATGACATCACCGAGGCAATTTCTGTTATAAGGAAATTGTTGTTTTCAAGCACTTATAATAAGACTACTGGCTGGTTCCTGCCAATGTCCAATACGGCTTCCGATCAGGATGACTGATTCAAGAGTGATATGGCCACCGATTAAATGATGCTGCTGATAAATCTTTGGGCACTTTGTAAAATAAAATCTAATCACAAGCAACAAAATATGAAACTGTCCAACAGTATGATTTAAAAAAACGTATCAGGCAAAATCCAAACTTTTTATATTTTATATTTTAAAATTAAAACATTTAAAGGCCCAGTTTAATAAAATTGAATCCGATATTGCATCAAGGAGCTATAAAGTAGTATCAAGCATGTTTCTCTAGAAAAATTATTCAATAGCCAGAGAAATTGAAAATGTTTCCAATTACCATTATATTTATTCCTACATTTTAAATATTCTGTTACATTCATTCATTCCCACATAAATATTTGACTTTGTTCAGTAATCAATCATCCACTATGTCAAGGGTCCCCAACCCCATCTGTAGACCGCCATTGGTCCATGATGATTGAGGAAATAACATTATGCTATCAAAGTTCATTAAGTAAATGAAATGAAGAGATAAAGTTTCCCCCCGAAAGTACTGTCCAAAATTTTTAAAATGTACACAATAGCTCCAGAGAGTTCATTTGTTTGGAAAACAAAAATAATTAAGCACAATACAGAATGATGTATGTAGGTGCTGCTCCAACCCAAATAATTCCCCCCACAGCAATATCCTTCCAAGAGATTAGGAATAGTCCCTTCACAAACCTCTGCCAACACATTACAATATTCTTCTCCATTTCAGTATTTTATTGACATTTCTCCTTGTGGTTCCTACACAACTTCTCAACTCTACTTCCCTGAACTGTAAATTAATAGGGCTCTGCACCTAACCCAATCTCCCTTTTATCAGTCTCAA